ATGGACATGGTAAAAATATTCAAAATATATTAAGGAGTAAATAATGAAAAGAAAGTCACCTTTTTACACCTGATCACCTGTTGTTTACCTTTCTCAAATATAACCCTGGTTGTATCCTCATGCACTTTTTTCTGTACATATATAAGCATATATGTAAAAATTCTTTTTTTATACAAATTGTTGTATGCTTTATACAGTTTTGAACTTTTTTCAGTATATTCTAGAAATGAACTCATATTAATACATATAGCTCTGTTTCATTTTCCATCAGTTGGCAGTTGCATGGTCCCCAATCTGCGGCCAAACTTTCACTTATTTAATATCCAAACTTCTATTAATGGACATTGGGTAGTCTCCAACCTTTTGCTATGACAACCCATGCCACAAATGAATATCTTTTTTAATGCCTCAGAGTTTTTTGTTTCTTTTTAATCCTCACCATGGATATATTTTTAAATTGATTTTAGAAACATCCATGTGAGAGATATTGATCAGTTGCCTCCCCTATACACCCCCCCACAGGGAATTGAACCCACAGCCTGTGTATGTGCCCTGACCAGGGATTGAATCCCTGACTTTTCAGTGTATAAGATGATGTTCCAACCAACTTAGCCTCACCGGCCAGGGCTTGGAGTTTTAATTTTATTTAACTAAAATTTCAAGATTGAAGCAATTTAAAATTTTTTCATTATATATAACTTATTTTGAATAAATTGGGTTAAATTAAAATTTCACCTTTTAATTTTTAATGTAAAATTTAAAGTTGTATATGTAGCTTGGATTGTGTTTCTATTAAATAGTACCGATTTAGATTGTCACTGTCCATTGGTGGTCTGATACCCACACTGGATTTAGCTCCTTGAGGGTAGGAACCCAGTCTGTCTCCATTTCTCTTGTGTCCCCATAATCACCCAACCTGGCATGACATAGATGCTAAAAACATTTCTGTTTAATGAGTTAGCAGATGAATGACCCCCGGAAGATATATATGCTTCCCAGCTTCAAGTCTTATTGATCATCTTCTTGGAAGGACGGATCGGGTGGAAAGGGTACTGACTGGGTTTATTTAACCAGAGGTCATTCCAACCGATGCCACGCAGTCCAGTTTCTCCCTGTATGAGTCTGGGTCCCCAGATACTCGCCTGGAACTGAAGTTCAGAGCAGTCAGGAGCTTGAGACTCCCTCCCAATTGAAAAAGACAACCATGTCCTCAGTTGCCAGTCCTTTCTTCATGTGTCTCTGTACCTCTGCACTTTACTTCCACACCTCCTCTGAGTCTCAGTGTGCTTTTCTCTTTCCTTCTAGTTGTAGAATTTCCACTCAGCCAGCCTTCCTGTGGTTCTGGATGATGTCCGTTTTGTCTTTTAGTTGTATTTTTGAAGTTGTTGTGTGAGGCAGCAATTTCTGGTTTTTACGAATGCCGCCATCTTGGTTACTGTCCTCTTCTTGCTCTTCGTAAAGAATACCCTTCAGCCCAGCCAGCATGGCTCCGTGATTGAGCATCGGCCCATGAACCAAGAGGTCAGGTTTTGATTCCTGGTCAGGGCACCTGCCCGGATTGCGGGCATGATCTCCAGTAGGGGGTGTGCAGGAGGCAACCCATCAGTGGTTCTCTCTCACCATTGATATTTCTATCTCTCTCTCCCTCTCCCTGCCACTCTGAAATCAATAACATATATATATGTATGTATATATATATGTATATATGTGTGTGTATATATGTATATATATATTAATACCATTCAACATTTCATGTAATACTGGCTTGGCAGTGATGAACTCCTTTAGCTTTTTCTTGTCTGTGAAGCTCTTTATCTGACCTTCAATTCTAAATGATAGCTTTGCTGGGTAGGGTAATCTTGGCTGTAGGTCCTTGCTATTCATCACATTGAATATCTCTTGCCACTCCCTTCAGGCCTACAAAGTTTCTGTTGAGGAATCAGTTGACAGTTGTATAGGTGTTCCCTGGTGGGTAAACCAACTGCTTTTCTCTTGCTGCTTTTAAGATTCTTTTTCTTTAACCCTTGGCATTTTAATTATGTTGTGTCTTGCTGTGGGTCTCTTTGGGTTCCTCTTCTTTGAGACTCTCTGCACTATCTGGACTTATAAGTCTATTTCTTTCACCAGGTAGGGGAAGTTTTCTGTGATTATTTCTTCAAATAGGTTTTCAATTAGAGGCCTGATGTATGAAATTCCCAGCCACAGCTTTGTCCAGAAGGTGATCAGGAAGGTCATCCAGACAGTTGTTCCACTCTTTGGGCATTCGGTCAATTTGCATATTAGGCTTTTATTATTATAGACTAGAGGACCGGTGCACAAAAATTTGTGCACTTGGTGGGGAGGGTGTCCCTCAGCTCGGTCTGTGCCCTCTTGCAGTATGGGACCCATCAGGGGATGACCACCTGCTGGCTTAGGCCTGCTCCCCGGGGAATTTGGCCTAAGATGGCAATCAGACATCCCTCTGGCAGCCCGGGAGCCCTCGGGGGATGT